GTGCTGCTAATGTCCTTAGACTATAGTAACTATTTTCTGTTAGTCGGGTATCTAATAGGTTAAGTTGTCATTACATTCATCAACTATTTATCCTTTTTTATGGAATAGGAGACAAACGAGCAGACGGATCACCTGATGGTAAGCGATCAGCAATGTCCATGGACACCCGCAACACCAAATGAGTCACAGATGAGTTACCGGCCTTTTAAAAAGGAATACGTTTTTTTTTTGAGAGTTTGAATGTCGTACCGGTTCGGAAATACCGCTGATGACAGATCATTCCACAGTTTAGCTGTGCAAGGCAGAAAGTTACGTGAGAAACGCACAGTTGTGGTCTGCCAACCATTAATATGATGGGGATGCATGTGCAGTCGTGAGGGTCGATGGCGAAAAGATGTGGCAGGTATCAGGTCAAACAATTCCTATATATGTATATATGTGGTATAAGCCAGGAGGCTAAATAAATGTCCAGTATGTGACATTTAACACAAATCCTATTTAAAGAAAAAAAGGCATAACACAAACATCTCCCCACACTTTCAAAAGAATATAAACAAGTCAAAAGGGCAAAGAAAAAGGGAAAATGTCAAATGTAAAGATCGATTGTTTAGCCCAACAATTAAAGAGTCAATGCACGTACGAAAGAAGGTGCCGTTTTGCGTGGTACGTACCTAATTTAAGAACTGGGACAGGATAAAAATAATCCCTTATCGGGCCACGATAGTGTTGCTATGATTGTACTTGTAGGACTACCAAAACTGTATGGATTGACAGTGGTTACAATGGGTAACAAAACTAAAGCATTTTGACTACGTACAAAAAAGCTGAATAGACTTCATTATGACTTCCAGGTTGCTCGGCTGAAAGCGAGCACCCTTAACTTAAATTTTGGATCATCATTATTTTAAGTACCAATTCATAAACAGTAATTCTGTAAGTCATATAATGTCTCTACGCATCGAGTCAGAGATAGAAGGATAGAACACACAGACTTTGACAATCATTACAAAAACATAATTATCAATGGTGATAAAAAACATAACATAACTTATCAAACTGTTGTGGTTCTTTCCTCAAAAGGCCATTACAGAAGGAACCTGCACGGTTCTCACACATTCGGACTTCAAAAGAGACAGACCTCTGAGTTTGTTTCGGAATTTCTTCTCAATAAAATTGACGTGTAAAAGTGCTGCAGAAATAAATTCACTTGTTTCACTTGTGTCACACTTGATAGTGAATATCATCATCCCTTTTATCCCCGAACGGGTAGGCAGAGGTTCACATTACAACACGTAATGCCACTATACAATGTAAGACACACTTTTCATTATTTATCTTATGAGTCCCATGTAATAGGGGGTGAGTCTATTGCCATATACCGGGCACGATCTCAGACTCCGTGCTACTACTAAGATTTTTTTTGAAAATACGTAGAAATTTTGGCCGGGAATCGGTCTGGAGACCACTTGCCCAGCAGACGCACTTGCAACCGCTTTCCCAATGAGGCAGTCCAAGGAGACAAAAAACTGGTTAAATATCTACCCAGTAACCATTCGATGATTATCCCCCCTTAAAAAAAATACTGGAATTAACCATTTCATCTCAAGAATAACAGCTTGTAAGACTTTCCAATACTCGTAAGCAGGTTTTAATATTAATGTAGGTACCTTTTATTTTCAGCATATGGAAAGTGGCCCAATTCTCTAGGCATAATTTATAAAAAGGTACTTTACTTTCAGCTGTAAGAAGGTATAAGAGATTAGTTGATAACTAATTAAATGAAGGTAATGAATTTGTGTAAAGTTGTTAGTAAGTAGGTGTAATCGTATGTAATAAATGTCTAATGAATTAGTTTGACTTTAATATTCATTCATATATTCGACTGCACGGTTGGCGCGGTGGTTGGGCAACTGGCTGCCGTGCAACGTGTCGCGGGTTCGATTTCCGCACGGAACAACACTTTGTGTGATCCACAGATTGTTGTTCCGGGTCTGGGTGTCATGTGTATGTGATATTGTATGTTTGTAAACGCACCCACGACACAGGAGAAAATCCTAGTGTGGGGCAACGTTTTTTTATAAAAAAAAATATAATATTAATATGCATAAGGTTTTGATTGCTGATGACTGGGTGAATGGTAGATCATTAAAATTTGCAATAATTATAATGAGGTATTTATCTATCTATCTATGTATCTTTAGGCACTAAGTTAGGGCAGCACTAAGAGCTTATTTGCCAAGGTTTCTTTAAGAAAATTCTCAGTAGTATTACGTAGTCTAGAATTATGTCTGGTATATGGGCAATAGGCTCACCGCCTATTACATGGGACTCATAACATAAATAGTAAAAACTGGGTGTTATATTGTACAGCGGTATTAAGTGCCTTAGTGTGTACTGCCTTACTCCTTCGGGGATAATAGACGTGATGTTCTGTGTTTCTTTAAGAATGAAAAAACGAAGTATTAGTGCGTTACGAAGTCGCTGTAATTATTTATAAACTTACTATTACAATATTATTTTTACCCCGTTTATAAATTTATCGCAATAACAATGGTAATACATTTTTGCAAAACCAAGGCTTCAAGGAACATTTCCCTTAAGCAAACAGTTTTTACCCTGAACATAAGTGATTTACATTAAATATTATTTATGGGCTGTTATTAAAACGCCAACCACATGGCTCCCATGGTATTTGACACTATAAATCGTTAACTAAATGAGGATTTGTTGCATTCACAGCATGTAAAGTTGACTGGTGCAATATATCAGTGTCATTTCAGTCGGATAAAAATGTTCTAGATTTATTGAGTTCGTAATGTGTTGGTTTTTGTTGGTGAATTAAAATAAATATACTGTTGTACTCTCCGAACGGGTATGTAGAGGGTATATTTATTTCTTTTTTTTACCACGACGGTGGCAACAAAGCACACGGCCCACCTGTAAATGGTTATCGTGGCCTATGAACGCTTGCAACACTTGGGGCATTACATGCGCCTTAATAAACCTATTTACTCCTTTCTTGAAGAACCCCATATTGTTATAGTTCACCGGGAAAACCTTACATGTGCAATTGTAACCCAAATTATTCATTATGAACAGAGATAATATTTTAACCTTACGATCAATTTTAATTTTTGCAGACTGCCTCATTGAACGACTTCTTGGTATAACATGAATTGGGATGATGACCGGGTATAAAAAGTAAAAATATAATTAGCCTATAAGTTAGGAAATGAAAAAAATATTAAACACGTATTTTTTTATTTTGTTGTATAATAAAACAATCCTTAGATAAAACGAATTGAAACGACATTGTAAATACTTGATTACTTGAATCAAAGTTTAAGAGTGGGGGCTAAAACGTAATTTCTACGTATAAAATGTACATAGAAGTGACGTCACGCGACATTTCAAATCAATATATCGTCGAAAGTATTCGTTTCTGTAAGAAAGTAAAAAAACACGTGTCTAATGATTTTGTAAAATAATTTACCAGACGGACGTTCAAATAAAAATTAGACATCTACCCTATTGTACCCAATGGCAATAATCTCGGTTCCATTACATGAGAGTCATAGTATAATTGATAAAAAACGTGTGTTACTTTATTCATGGTCACCTACCTACCTGAAAAGCAGTGGCATTATATTAATATAACTTAACTTGTCGAGTACCGTCATTATAGACACAATTATAGAACAATAGGTTGTGGTCACCGGTGACCGCACCGGTCACGGTACTCGACGAGTTAATTAAGAAATACTAGGTATATAAGGTTCACCAAAAACAATATCAAAGTAAGTCATCGATTAGCTAAAACGCCACAGCTTCTTAGTACGTATCTATTCGAAAACTTAGAACTTCGGTAGTCAGAAACTAGCTTTAATGTTCATAGATGTTTTAATTACACCCTCGGCAGCTAGCTAATATCATTATTATCCTCAATGGAACGTGAACATAATGTGTTTTGTAAGAGTTTCACTAAATAACTTTTAGCATTTGTCTCCTAAACGACTGAAGCGACATGTTTTTGGTAATGGTTTTAACTACAATATGTCTAGTGTTTGGATAATTTTGGTTCATGTTCCCTGAGGTGTTGTTACAGGGATGATGTGTGATTGTATCGTATAAGAGGATGGTTATTTATGTCTATCTACTACATGTTTCGGTGGTCTAGAGGTCATATGAGATAGACGGTTGTATTTTTTTTTAGATTTTACACTTTAGATACGTTGATTGGTTATTTGTATAATTGCTTAATCCTCGAATCACGTGGATTATTTACAGCTCGATCACGTTTGAATAGGAACAATTCATTTAAATTTAAATTTATGTTATACAGTTTTTAAATCCCGTTTTAAAACCTCGGAATAAAATCACGTCAACTGTTGTGTAATTATTATATTAAACGTAGGAATTTTAACACAATATGAACAAGGAAAAATCGATAGAGTATCGTTGACATTATTGGTGCTCACAGACAACACTTTACGAAGCAATTCATTAGCCCGAAGCTTTCATTCGAAGAAAATTGCTAACGATTTACTTAGTAACTGATACCAAGCGAAGTAATTTCATTTGAGGACTGAAATGTGATACTGTTAATTTACCACTCTATGTTTTAGATTCGATCGCAATTATGACAGTGTATTTTGTTTCCTAAGTGCTTACGGGAGGGTATATTATACGTTGTTTTCCTTGTTGCTACAAGAGATATGTTTTGTTATAAACAGAGGTTGAAGAAGCACTGGAAGAATTTGTATGAAATATTATGGCCACATTTACATTTTTTGCGACTGTCATTGTACCATAAAACCCAGTTAAACTTAATATAATTTCCAACCACTAGGGTTAAACTCTCAAAATCATTTAACATCAGCTATCCTGTCTTAGCTCAACCAATGTTCACAATAATACAAGGATCGTCTAGCTACCATTCTTGACTTAAAACTAAAAAGTATTACACTCCCTTAACAATAAAATAAAGAAAACCAATTTACCTGTACACAGGATTATCATCTCGGTACCAGACTACAAGAAGTAGACTGTCGTTGTGCATTGGTGGTCTGATGTCACAGGGCATGTCTGCCTCGCCACCGACGATGGCGGGCACCCGCGTCACCGTCGCGGCTACAGGCGATGTTACCACCCCTGTGGAAGAAAAGATATATTTACTATTTACTAAAGATATATGTGTGTTGATAAAGGATTTTAAAAGTGAGTTAGGACTGTGAGATAATATCTATTGATGGAAGTGTCATAAAAATATGACCTACATTGTTAGGGTAATCAAAAATTATGCTTACGAAGATTTAAAGGATTTTGACAAGATTGTGAGGTGTAATTAAGGCAACTATAAAGTCTTGATTAATCACCACATTTTTAACTGCCATCATGATTACCTCATTGGATGAATGATCACAAATGTGATCACAGAGTTTATGATTTTTGGTTCTACCCCGGTTTTGAATTACCTATTACAGTTAAATTATATCTTTAGTTGTAATTCCATTATGTATCAGCAGAGGTCCTCGCACCTATAGTGAAATTTATAAAATACTGCCTTCTGCACGCGGCTTCACCCGCATTTCCGTGGGATAATAAGTGGCCTATTTATTTATTTATACGTTTTTTTTTTAGTAATTTGAGTACAATGGGTTGTGTTATTTCAGAACATAATTATCAATCTATCTCTGTTCCAAACTTTTAACCCAACCCCTTCAGTCGTATTAGATGGGACTGACGTTTGACCAGTATCTCGCCTAGTGGTAAGCGATGATGTGGCCTACGATGGAGCACGTCGACCTATAAGCACTTGGGCCTTGTAGACACCCAGGTTATACCCTTCAGGAAATACAGACTCTGGCAACGAATTCCACTTCTTAGCGGTACACACAAGGAAACGTGATTGAGTAACAAACAAACAAACATAGACACAAACTCACAAGACTTCACATTTATTATATTAGTAAGATAATGAAAGCAGTTGCACTATAAGTATTTTCACTCCGCATTCGCCTTGAAGTCACATCGGCCGTCACTTACTCAAGTACCTAAGTAGCGTGCACAGCATTGGAGAATCTCGGATGCAACCGAGTAGCATCGCTAAAACTTGATAGATTACTAGTCCGTGTACCATTGTGTCGGACGATGAAACATTGCGCTATCGGTTACAGCTTTGAATGATGATATAGATGCACAAGATGGTGACAATGATACCGTATAAGATATAGTCATATTTCATAGTAATAAATAATTAAATGTTTTGTGGTTATTGATACATTTTATTCGTCGTTTCACGATAGTGGAGACTAACTTTTACATTACTTAAAATATTCATTCAAGTGTGAATTAAAAATATAATTATCAGCCAATTCAATTTTTCAGACAAACAACAGCAGAGGATCTTAACGATTTTTTATGAACGAGCAGACGGTTCACCTGATAGTAAGTGATCGGCGTCACCCATAGACACCTGGAACACCGGAAGCGTTACCGGCCATTTGGATATTAGGAATTTCAAGATTGTTGGGGATTCAGGGATTGAGGAAGGGAGGAGGAGGGTAATTGAGCCTTTTTTGGTTTTCTGTGAGGCTGTGGTATCACTCTGGTCGAGCCAGCCCATTCGTGCCGAAGTATAGCTCTCTCACACATAGACGTGGCTCTCCCACACTTAAATGTAGTTATTTTAGTTATCAATGATTAAATTATCAGTCTCTCTATGTCGCTGTATTAATTAGATACTGTTGTGATCTTTTAAAAAATAATACAGTTTAACTTAAAACGATAAATTTCAAATAACTGTTCCCGTTCGACTACTCTTAAACACTAGACAACTATTACGTAAACTCACTTTTCATATCACATAAATAATACCGTCATCAACCCTCAAACGTAACAAAGGAGTTTGACGATAAATATTACATAGATAAGAACGGAATACTAAAGAATACTTCCTCAGACACCTACACAAAAACCTAGTACTTCAACAAAAGACTCGTAACAATGCAGACACTTAATATTCCCTTAACAAAAACCTATTTTCATTACTGAATTTAGAGAACTTCATTTTTTGCTAGAAAAAATATCAAAAAAAAACTTTTGCTCAGAAAAAAGAAAAGATGTTAGACTCAATGTTTGGTGGCGAGGTCGTGAGGGTGATTAGTAAGATTACCAAGCTCGTGATTTTGGATTTGATTCTTATGTGAGGTAACTTCTTTACTATAGCAGTTTTTAATTTATCTTATACATAGAACCTGGTCTATTTTTATTACGCGGTAAACCTATTATTTTAGACTTATTATTATCCTAGCTGTGGCACACACGAAACAATTTAGGCAGTTGTTTTACCTCATCATCATCATCAACATTCTAGAAGAGGCCACTGCTGAGCAAAAGCCTCTTCTCACATGGATAAGGTTTGAGCATTAATCACCACGCTTGCTCAATGCGGGTTGGCGATTTCATACTTATAATCAAAAAGTATATGTCCAGGTTTCTTCACGATGTTTTCCTTCACCGTTTGCCAGTGGTCTCTAGATAATATTAGAAAGTACATATAACTCAGAAAAAGTCACATTGGTACTTGCCGTTGGTAGATTTCGAAACCGCACTCTCATGCATGAAACGAGGTCGTCAAAAACCTCCGGGCCACCACGATGTTTTGCTTAATTTGTGAAATATCATTTTTGAATTTATTTCCAAATTATTTTGCTGCTACAACTAACAGATGAAAGTCTTATTACAATTATAATATAAGTAATCATATTATAACAAACGAAAACACACTTATCCCTCCAGATAACATATTTCCGAAAAAGTAAGACTAAAACTGAGCAAACCAACTTGCTTTTGTTGGAAAAGTAACGAATTATACTGAACCGTTCACTGGTCAGTTCTGGACAAAGGCACCGGTTGGAAAAATATCATTTTCAACGGACCCCTCAGCCAATCCCCGTGTTTATCTACTTAAGGCCTTGTATGGAACAGTGTTACGTTGTAAGCGCGTGAAATCCCTTAACACGAAACCAAAATTCGGTTTAGGGTGTAAACGATAGCGGATAGAATTGGTGTTCTGGTATTTTTGTGTTCATGTATTTTCATTGTTAGATCTGTTCGATATTTGTGTTAATATAGCTTTAATTTCTTGTGATCTCATGAATATGAAGTCTTATTTGGAGAAACTTGATATGAGTTTTCGTTACTTTATCAAAACATTAAAATCTATTAACACCAAAATATTTTATTTGTATTCGTTTGTCGAGCTATGGAGAGGGCTATGCTCGGAGTATTTCTGAAGGATAGGATCCGTAACGAGGTGATCCGACAGAGAACTAAAGTTACCGATTTAGCCCAAAGGATTAGCAAGCTGAAATGGCAGTGGGCCGGTCACATTTGTCGAAGAACCGATGACCGCTGGGGTAGACGTGTTCTAGAGTGGAGACCGCGTCTAGGCAAACGTAGTGTAGGGCGCCCTCCAGCTAGGTGGAGGGACGATATACGTAAAGTGGCTGGTAGTGGTTGGATGCGTAGAGCTGAAGACCGAGCTCAGTGGCGTGCCATTGGAGAGGCTTATGTCCAGCAGTGGACGAAAACAGGCTGATGATGATTCGTTTGTCAAATCATTTGTATTATTAAAAAAAACAGTGAGTAATATAGAAAATAAGAAATAGTTTCTATCGTAGTGAAATCGATTTTTTATATTAAAATATTATGTACGCGGACTAATAATGAAATATAACAAGAAACATTTTTTTGTTGTGTATACAAAACAATGCATTTTTATTACTGCCTCCTGCAACTTACACCCCATCACACAAGGCTGAAAAACAAGAAAATGACATTCAGCCGTAGGTATGTTCCGAGCTCAACCGGACAATGTGGACGACACGCACACCTGCCAACTAAAACCTTTTTGGTATTCGGCACGGCATAAATACAAGGGTAGACTGTAGGCTGGCTAACAAAAAACCTTAGTCGCTTCATGTTTTAATATTACGTAATAAGATTGTAATAGAGTTTTGTGATAATATTGTATGCTATTTTGAGAGAAAAATATATACCGAAATATAAGAGAAACAGAGATGTGATTACAGATTTTGTGTTTTATGAGGTGCCTGATCTCATGATTCGAAAGTTTTTGGTTTAGGAATGGTTAACATTTGGCTTAGATTATATTCTTTAGACATTAAAAGCATCCACGCTGGACTCGGTCATCGATCATCGGACATCGATCAGACGGATCACCTGATGGTAAGCAATCGATGCTGCCCATAGACACCCGAAACATGAAGGCGTTACAAGTGCGTTACCGGCCTTTTGGGAATTGGGAATTTTAGGATTGTGGAGGATTCGGGGATTCGGGAGACTGGGGAGGGGGGTAATTGGGCCTCCGGTAACCTCACTCACACGACGAAACACAACGCAAGCGTTTCTTCACGTCGGTTTTCTGTGAGGCCGTGGTATCACTCCGGTCGAGCCGGCCCATTTGTGCCGAAGCATGGCTCTCCCACGCTTGATAATCATAATAGATTGGTGTAATCAAGTATTAAAATATCATCTTACTTTGTTGCGTTCTCTTTAATTGGTATGTCATTTGCAGAAAGATTTTCTAGATAAGATGACTCCCACAACATTCATTTTCTACAAAGTTATTACAAAAAATATTTTAATGGATATTCACCTTAATAAATACTACGTTAAAGTTGAACTTTGAATATCAATCACCAGGTCAATAACTTATCTAGTTGGAATTTTAACCGCTACATTCATTTCATATTACTTCAAACGCCTAATAATATAACTTGAGCAAGTTCTAAGTTCTTGTGGTATACTTAGACTGTTAAGTGAAAGTTTCAACAAGTACTATTAAGTAGTATACTATTGTTGATCTACAAAATTGTGTTTTGGAACTTGAGACTTCAATTTTCAACAGTAACTATACAATTATGTCTAGTTTTCCCAAGGTCAAATATTGTGAACATAATAATTCTAATTGACTGCCTCGTTGGCCGAGTGTCCGCAAGTGCGTCTGCCGGGCAAGGGGTCTCGGGTCGGGCAAAGAATTACTGGGTTTTTAAAAAAAATCTTACTAGTAGCACGGAGTTTGAAATTGTGAAAAACTCACCCCCTATTACATGGGACTCATAACA